AGGCCAGAAGGGAGTGGCATGATATATTTAATGCAATGAAGCAGAAGGACCTCAAACCAAGAACACTTTATCCAACAAGATTATCATTTAAATTTGAAACAGGGATTAAAGAATTTCCAGATACCAAAAGCTGAGAGAATTTACTTCCTAAAAACCACCTCTACAGTGCATTTTGGAGGGACTGCTATAGATAGAAGTGTTCCTAAGGCTAATTAGCTGTCACCAGAGGAAATACAACCACAGCAAAGAAAGTAGAACAATTAATTATTAAGCAGAATCAAAATCAAATCAACTACTCCCAAAGTCAATCAAAGGACAGACAAAGAGTACAGAATTTGATACCTAATATATAAAGAATGGAGGAGGAAGAAAAAGGAGGGGTATGTATATAATAGGCTGTGTATATAATAGCCTACTAAGTGAGTTATATTAGACTGTTAGATAGTAAGGGAATTACGCTTGAACCTTTGGTAACCACGAATCTAAAGCCTGCAATGGAAATAAGTACATACCTGTTGATAATCACCCTAAATGTAAATGGTCTGAATGCATCAATCAAAAGACATAGAGTCACTGAATGGATAAAAAAACAAGACCCATCTATATGCTACCTACAAAAGACTCACTTCAAACCCAAAGACATACAAAGACTAAAAGTGAAGAGATAGAAAAAGATATTTCATGCAACTATTAGGGCAAAAACAGCAGGTGTTGCAGTACTTGTACCAGACAAAATAGACTTCAAAACAAAAAAGTTAACAAGAGACAGAGAAGGACCTTACATAATGAAAAAGGGATCAGTCCAACAAGAGGATACAACTATTATAAATATCTATGCACCCAACACAGAATCACCTACATAGGTGAAACAAATACTAACAGAATTAAAGGGGAAAATAGAATGCAATGCATTCATTTCAGGAGACTTCAACACACCACTCACTCCAAAGGACAGACTAACCAAACAGAAAATAAGTAAGGAGACAGAGACACTGAACAACATATTAGAACAGATGGACCTAACGGACATCTACAGAACACTCCACCCAAAAGCAACAGGATACACATTCTTCTCAAGTGCACACGGAACATTTTCAAGAAGAGATCATATACTAGGCCACAAAAAGAGCCTGAGTAAATTTAAAAAGACTGAAATTGCACCAACCATATTCTCAGATCACAAAGATATGAAAATAGAAATAAATTGTAAAAAGAAAATAAAAAGGCTCACAAACACATGGAGGCTTAACATCATGCTTCTAAATAATCAATGGATCAATGAACAAATTAAGACAGAGATCAAGCAATACATGGAGACAAATGACAATAATTCAACACCGCAAAATCTGTGGGATGAAGCAAAGGCCGTGCAAGAGAGAAGTATATTGCAATACCGGGCTATCTCGGGAAAGAAGAACAATCCCAAATGAGCAGTATAAACTCACAATTAACGAAACTAGAAAAAGAACAAATAGGCCCAAAGTTAGAGGGAGGGGCATAATAAAGATTAGAGCAGAAATAAATAAAATCAAGAAGAATAAAACAATAGAAAGAATCAATGAAAGCAGGAGCTGGATCTTCATGAAAATAAACGAAATAGATAAACCCCTAGCCAGACTTAACAAGAAAAAAACCAGTCTACACACATAAACAGAATCAGAAATGAGAAAGGAAATATCACTATGGACACCACAGAAATACAAAGAATTATGAGAGAATACTATGAAAAATTATGTGTTAACAAAGTGGATAACCTAGAAGAAATGGACAACTTTCTAGAAAAATACAACCTTCCAAGGTTGATCCAGGAAGAAACAGAAAATCTGAACAGACCAATTACCAGCAAGGAAATTGAAATGGTAATCAAAAACTACCTAAGAACAAAACCCTGGACCAGATGGTTTCACTGATGAATTTCATCAAACATTTTGGAAACATCTAATACTCATCCCTCCTTAAAGTATTCCAAAAAGTAGAAGAGAAGGGAATACTCCCAAACTCATTCTATGAGGCCAGCATCACTCTAATACCAAAACCAGGTGAAGACACCACAAGAAAAAGAAAATTACGAGACCAACATTCCAGATGAACATAGATGCAAAAATACTCAACAAAGTATTAGCAAACCGAATTCAAAAATACATCAAAAAGATCATCCATTATGATCAAGTAGGATTTATTGAAGGGATGAAGGATGGTACAACATTTGAAAATCCATCAACATCATCCACCACATAAACAAAAAGGACAAAAACCACATGATCATCTCCATAGATACTGAAAAAGCATTCAACAAAATTCAACATCCATTCATGATAAATATTCTCAACAAAATGGGTATAGAGGGCAAGTACCTCAATATAATAAAGGCCATATATGACAAACCCACAGCCAACATTATACTTAACAGCGAGAAGCTGAAAGCTTTTCCCTTAAGATGGGGAAGAAGACAAAGATGCCCCCTCTCCCCACTTTTATTCAACATAGTTATGGAGGTCCTAGTCATGGCAATCAAACAACACAAAGAAAAAAAAGGCATCCAGATTGGTAAGGAAGAAGTTAAACTGTCCCTGTTTGCAGATGACAATGATATTGTACTTAAAAAACCCTTAAGAATCCACTCCAAAACTAATATCTGAATTCAGCAAAGTTGCAGGATACAAAATTAATACACAGAAATCTGTGGCATTCCTATACACTAATGATGAACTAGCAGAAAGAGAAATCAGGAAAACAATTTCATTCACAATTGCATCAAAAAGAATAAAAAAAAGAATAAAATAAAATCAAAAAGAATAAACTTAATCAAGGGAGTGAAAGACTTATACCCTGAAAACTGCAAGATACTCATGAGATAAATTAAGGAGGACACTAATAAATGGAAATTCATCACATGCTCTTGGCTAGGAAGAATTAATATCATCAGAATGGCCATCCTGCCTAAAGCAATATACAGATTTAATGCAATCCCTATCAAATTACCAACAGTATCCTTCAACGAACTGGAACAAATAGTTCAAAAATTCATATGGAAACACCAAAGACCCCAAATAGCCAAAGCAATCCTGAGAAGGAAGAATAAAGTGGGGAGGGGGGGGATCTCGCTCCCCATCTTCAAGTTCTACTACAAAGCCACAGTAATCAAGACAATTTGGTACTGGCACAAGAACAGGTCCATAGAGCAATGGAACAGACTAGAGAAGGCAGATATAAACCCATGCATATATGGTCAATTAATATATGATAAAGGAGCCATGGATATACAATGGGGAAATGACAGCCTCTTCAACAACTGGTGTTGGCAAAACTGAACAGCTACATGCATGATAATGAAACTGTATTATTGTCTAACCCCATAGACAAAAGTAAACTCAAAATGGATCAAAGACCTAAATGTACGTCATAAAACCATAAAACTCTTAGAAGAAAACATAGGCAAAAATCTCTTGAATATAAACATGAGCAACTTTTTCTTGAACACATCTTTGGGCAAGGGAAACAAAATAATAAATGAGCAAACGGGACTACATCATGCTTAAAAGCTTCTGCAGAACAAAAGGCATCCTACAGTATGGGAGAATATACTTGTAAATGACAGATCCAAAAAGGGGTTAAGATCCAAAATATATAAAGAACTCACATGACTCAACACCCAAAAAGCAAATAACCCTATTAAAAAATGGGCAGAGGATATGAACAGACACTTCTTCAAAGAAGAAATTCAGATGGCCAACAGGCACATGAAAAGATGCTTCACATCACTAATTATCAGGGAAATGCAAATTAAAACCACAATGAGATATCATCTCACACCAGTTTGATGGCCAACATTGAAAAGTCTAGGAACAACAAATGCTGGCGAGGATGCAGAGAAAGAGGAACCCTCCTACACTGCTGGTGGGAATGTAAAGCAACATGGTGGTTCCTCTAAAAATAGAAATACCATTTGACCTGGGAATTCCACTCTAGGAATTTACCCAAAGAAAACAAGTTATCAGATTCAAAAAGACATATATATACCCCAATGTTTATTGCAGCACTATTTAAAATAGCCAAGATATGGAAGCAACCTAAGTGTCCATCAGTAGATGATTGGATAAAGAAGATGTGGTACATATGTACAATGGAATATTATTCAGCTACAAGAAGAAAACAAATCCTACTATTTGCAACACCATGGATGGAGCTAGAGAGCATTATGTTCAGTGAAATAAGCCAGGTGGAGAAAGAGAAGTACCAAATAATTTCACTCATCTGTAAAGCATAAGAACAAAGCAAAACTGAAGGAACAAAACAGCAGCAGACTCACAGAACCTAATAATGGACTAACAGTTGCCAAAGGGAAAGGGACTGCGCGGGGTGGGTGGGAATGCAGGGAGAAGGGGAATAAGGGACATTATGATTAGCACACATAATGTAGTGGGGGGCACAGGGAAGGCAGTACAACACAGAGAAGACAAGTAGCACTACACTGATGGACAGTGACTATAATGGGTTATGTGGTAGGACTTAATAATGGGGGGAATCTAGTAACCACAATGTTGCTCATGTGACTGTATATTAACGATACCAAAAAAAACCACTTTAAACTATTTTGGTCCTGTAATTAGAATTAAGGTACCAAAGAATATACTATGTTACAGGTGGTAGATGATATAAGAAGGACAAAATAATCAGAAAACGCATTAGGGAGAGAGGTCTTCTTCATTGCGGAAGAATTTTATCAGAATCCTTTTTGTTCTAAAACAAAAGAGATGATTTTAATGTTTACTAACAATAAACCTGTTCTTTAACAGGTTAGTAAAGTAAAAAGGAAAATGACTGGGCTCAATTAACGTTCCTGAAATTCTACCTTTAACAGTTTTTTTCACACTGAGTTAAAGGGAAAAAACTACTCATAAAATAAGTATCAAAAGAGATAAATTTCCTTGTAAAAATATTTTTTTTTGAAAAAAAAAATGACTAGAAAATTATTAATATACACAAAACGGAGTTCTCACCCGGTCTTCCTTCTTAGGCAACTGGTCCTTGATTAGAGTCTTGGTGCGCCTGAGAAGCCACCCAGACATCCTTTTTGCAAGTCTCTGCATAGCCTTTCGGCCGGTCGCAAGCTCTCTTTTGGTTGCTGTGTGTCTCTGACCATGTTCTACTGGGTCAGAAAACTGCTTCTTGAAGTGGATCCTGCTACCCAAAAGTCCTGGCACAGCCCTTCATAAAGACAGTAAGAAAAATGTAAGGGCTTTATTACATTATCTCAAGAGAAAAACACTGACTTTATTCTGCTTCTAAGACATATACTAAAACACGTTTATTAGTTACAACAAAAACAAAAGGCAAGAAAACAGAATGTTCTTTCTTTATGACAGTTTCAGTAAATAACTATAAGAATACGATGGAATTGTTACATTAGTCTGGATATTTACTTCAGGAATCAAGAGTAATATATAAAGATAGGTTTTCATAGGACTCTGCTCTGTATACTGTGTTTGGGATCAAACATTTCTGTAAGGAGATAATTGTTTTTCAGAAACCAACCATTTGCAATCAGGCAGCACTAAGTTAAAGAAGTATTAAAACTTTCCAAAAACAAAAAGATTTTTCACTCACCAGTCCATGACACACCACAGCTCTTTCATGTTGTTCTGAAGGATGGTTCCAGTGAGGCCTATGCGGACGTTACATTTTAAAGCTTTCATAACCTCTGTTACTCTCGCCTTCGGATTCTTGATTCTATGAGCTTCATCTACAATGACAGCTGACCACTCCAAACTATGAAGCGATAAAAGGGGGGTTGGAGTCAAGAAAATTTCCTTTTCTTAGTCTGTATAATTGCTAGCGAGAAGGTTTCTCTACCAGAGTTGTGGAGTTTTTCCCTCTTACTCTTTGATGAGCCCAAAGGCTTCTCACTTAGTTAGTTAAACCATCACAGATTTGGACAACCGAGTAAAATAAAATGTGTAGGGACACAAAAGGGTATAAATGTTTAATGATGGTGGAATGAAAAAACTCATTTAAACATCACTAAAATGACAAAAAGTAATTTTTTAAAGTAATAAACCAGAGAAATAAATATATTTATATAAAGGAGGCAAAACCTGCAGTGTTAAATCTGAATGAAAAAAATACTGATCTAAACCAATGACTTCAAAAGCTGTATTACATACCTCTGCTACAAAGGTTTGGGATCGATTGTTACCCTAGCAGCAGTGAGCCCACACAGCGGCCAAGCCACTGACAGGAACCAGAGCCCCCTGGAGATTGAGTGATTTCAAGCACACAGCAGGGGAAATACTGAAGAGCCAAAAATTATCACAACAGACAGAAAAAAAAACAAGACCCAACTATATGCTACCATAGATACTTTAAATATAAAGAACAGATATGTTGAAATAGAAAAGGTGGAAAATAATAAACAAGCAGTAAGCATGAGAAGACTGTACTGACTGTATTAATATCAGATACAACCTCAAGCTTATTAGATATAAAAAGGAACATTTTTAAAGTTAAAAGGATTAATCAAGAAAAAATAGCAATCATAGATGTGTGTATATCTAATAATAGAGCTTCAAAATATATGAATTGAAAGCTGAAGAACTGAAAGAAAAAATTTTTTTAATCCACAATTATGAAGGTATCAACCTTCCTCTCTCAGAAACTGTAAACCAACTAGAAAGAAATCAGTAAAGATGGAGAACATTTAACAACACCCATCCAAAACTGGATGACACTAACTTCATTGACACTAGAGACACTACACCCAACAACTGGAGAACTGACATTTCTTCACGTTCACATATATCAGAAAAATGCAAATTATATACTGCCACAGGATACTGCTGTATACTATATACACACTGAAATAGCTAAAAACCAAAAGACTGACAATACGAAGTGCTGGTAAATATAGGAGGCAACTGAACTCTCACAGGTCGCTAGCTGGCATAAAATGGTTCAACCACTTGCGAACATAGTTTGGTGATTTTTTCTTAAGTTAAACCTACATTTACCATATTTCCTGAAATTCTACCCCTAGGTACCCAAGAGAAATGAAAATATATATTTAAAAAAGGCTTATACATAAATATTCCTTGAGTTTTATAACCAAAAACTAGAAACCCCAAATATCCTCAAAAGAATGGGTAACAAAATGCTACCTAAAATGCACTACAATTCAGTGTTAAAAAAGAGCAATCACTGATACATTCAATAACATGGATGACTCTCACAACATGACGATCAGCAAAAGATTCCAGACACACAGTTCCAGAGGCTAGAAATTCAAGGTCAAGGTGGAGGCAGGCTTGGTCTCTTCTGAAGCCGCTCTCCCCGGCTTAAAGACAGTCACCTCCTTGCTGTGGACTTACATGTCCTTTCCTTTGTGCACAAGTTCCTCTTGTCTCTTCTTCTAAGGACACCACTCAGATTGGACCAGGGCCCTAACTTAATGGCCTCATTCAATTTAATTATCCCTTTTGAGGTCCCATCTCCAAATAGTTACGCTTTGAAGTCCTTGGAGTTGGGACTTGAACATATGAATTGGAGGGGACATAGTTTAGCTCATAGTAAGCCTTCCAACTGGTCTTTCTCCATTCAATTTGGCTCTCCTCCATCTGCACAGATAGCAACTGGGTTACTTATAAAATGCAAATCTGATCATTTTTCTCATATCCATAATCTGCTGAAAATCCTTCAGGGGCATTCTATTGCTCTCAGGACAAAGAACAAATTCAGTAGTAGCTTTCAATACTCTATGTTTTGATGTGTCCCTTGCTTACCACACTGGCATTGTCTCGGCCACTTCCTGCAGATTCTCTAGGCTGCAGCCACCAGGTACTGAAGACATCTAAGCTGCCATCATTTATCAAGTGCCATGACCTTTGCTGTCTACAGGCCTCCACAAAGACTGCTCGTTTCATTTACCTGGATTTCTCTCCTGCTCCTTAAGTCTTATTCACCCTCACCTCAGCTGAGCAATTCCCACTCAGCTCAGAGGTCACCTTCTGTGGGCAGTGCCTGATGACTGTCCTCACTCCTCATGTGCCCCCATCCTCTGCTCTGTATGACAGCACTCAGAGGGCTTTACAACTGTCTGTCTTTACTCCCCACTAAAACCTTATTAGAATGCAGTAGGCGTGAGCCAGCTCATTTCTTTGGAGTACATCAGGTTCTGGAACAGTGTGCTCAACATGTATATTTATTTTTTGCCACTCTACATTCACAACAGACTCCCATAATTAAAATGATTCATGAAAATCACGTAGTCTAGATGCACCATTTGCATAAAAGGTTGCACACGAGCTTTAGGACAAGTTCATTCGTTCCTTAATAGGCATTGTTGGGAGAGGTAATAGAAGAAATAAAATAAGGAACTGTGGAAAATCTGTTGTAGGTTTTTCCTTCCTAGAAAAAAGTTAATTATTATAAACTGTCTATATTATTAATTCTGAAGTGAAATAAACTCATGCTAAAGATTTAGAGCTTTAAAAAAAAACACAACATGAAGGGGTAAATACAAATGACAGAGGCAGAATATTAATGCAATCATCTCCATTACTCCCATTACCTGTTAAGTTCATCTAGACATAAACGCAGTGTTTCATAAGTTGTTAGAGCAATTTCACATTTCCTCTGCTTTATGCGAATCAGTTCATTGTCTTTTTTGTTACCATGTAAAACAGTGACTCTGAAATATCCCCAAGTGTCCAATTCATCCTTCCAGTTGTAGAGGACAGAAAGAGGAGCAACTATTAAGAACATCTAAAAGAAAAAGAAAAATATTTATGACATTAAAAAAAAAATTTAAAAAGAACCCCAAAGTGAAATCCAGAGTATCAATAGTTCTATTCTTTAATTTTTGACACTGCAATTAATAAGAATAGATACAAGTAACTGAGCAATTAGGTGTTACCTGGACACAGAGACCATCAACAATACTTTGTTGTTTACTTAGCTTCTTATTGGGACAAAACAGATATCTAACCTTGCCCAAAGGAGTAGTTGTTTTTGATTTCCTCCCCAAAAACAGAGGTGACAAGATAAAGATAGAAGAACCTTTCCAAGACAGACAAACAGACAAAAGAGATAATTAGCATCCTAATAATAACTTCAAGGGCCAAGTGAGTAGTTCACACAGAAAGGCAATGCAGGACAAGTCTGTTTCTTGAAATATGTGGTCTTCTGGAGCTCTTTCTCTTCTGTTCCCCTAGGCCATTTCCTCTCTCCCTCTCTCAGACACTCAGTTGAAGACTTGGAAAATTCACTGAAAAATCAAAGCAATTAGAAGAAAACTTCCACCTCTCTTATAGTTAAATCAATAACCTACCTATATTTATTTCTATATATTCTGCCCTCCCACATGTTACCAAGGATGCATTGTCCGTGTTTTGATCTAAAGACAAACCTTGAACTTACACAGTGGCTCCCACTCCTGGCCAACCTGAAGTCAATACTGGAGAAATTGCTTTCAATCTCCCCTACATGATCAAATTTCCCTTTTGAATGGACCATATCCATCCAATAGCAAACGTTCTAATATTTCCCAGGGTTAAAAAGCAAGACAATGCCAAAACATCTCTTCCTTAATCCTACACTTCTTTCTAGCTATCCCGTTTACCTCCCTTATAGCAACCATCCTCAGGGGTTATCAAAACTGACCAAAGTTAGCTCTACCTACCCCTCCTCCTGTTCTCTCTTGAATTCATGTAAACAGGACGTGTGCCCTCACCCCTCCAACCAAAGCGGGTCCCCTTATCAAGATTCCCAACATAATTCTGTTTAGTCTTCACAGAAATGTTTTAGAATTTCACTAACCTTTCCTGCACTAATCCCAAATCCTGCTCTCATCACCTATTTTAATTTTTTAATGTTTTTATTTCTCACTGTTACCACCACTCTAAAGCTATTGTATTTAATAGGGTTATAAGCAAGTTTCTTTTCTAAAGTTTATACTTATCCTACTTGATAAAGATGAAGCAATTAAACACACAAAAAAACAAAAACAAACCCATACTACTACCCTAAATCCTGCTTTCTCTCCTGTGAAATATTTCAGCTAGACCATTTATCAGCTGTAATAAGTGAAATTTGTGACTGTTTTGGAAAGAGAAAGAAGAAAAACAACAGAAAATTAACCTACTGAATGTGAGAGCTCCTTCCCTCTAACCCTCCCATAAAGCAAATACAAGTACTATATCATCATACATATACTATATACATCATATTTATTTCAAGTACTTTTGTCTTTTGGCTCAGAGTTTAATCCTATGTATTACATTTTCTCCCAGCTTCAAATACAAAATTTGGGCTCCAAGTACTAAGTTTAATTATAGATTCTCTCTCTTCCCCACCTCCTTTTAAAATAGATTACGAAAGAGGAAAATACTGGGTCCAAATTCCATCTGTGCACTTTGAGCAGTTTTCTACTTGAGGGGGTCATTCATCAAAGATGCTAATGAATCTAAAGAGTCCTAGAATCAGCCCTAAGATACCAGAATAGGTTTAAAATTTAGACATTTCTTCGGACATCATTGGTCTTCAAAATTGTGAAAGGTAAGTCAATTGGTTCAGAAACTTATTACAATGCTAAGAATTGGTCAGAGAACTGAAGTATACCATTTGTAAAGTCCAGAGAAAGTCTGCAAGAAGAGCTTGAAATGGTTACCACTGTGCTGTGAGTATTTTACCTATCAGGCCTCACTTAAGCAAAGGATCCAGAACAGTGAGACAGGAAGCAGTGCCCGACTGCAGAGACATTACACACAAGGCAACACCATTTCTCATTCTTCAGCTAAGAAACAATTTTTAAACTGGACCTAAAGTGTAATAAAATTAAGTTTTGCTCACAAATATTGTTAAAAGCAACAGAGACCATGTTAAATAGTGAAACTAAAGAATACTGAATTACTTTTTTCTCTTTCAACAAATCTAGTTCAATCATTGAGGTGCATGCTTTTAAGGTTTCGTTTTTCATGTACTATGGCTTTGGAAATGTGGTTTAGACTGTGACAAGATACCCAAAGATGTTTCTCATGTGTGCTTGTTTTTGTGGTAGAAGTAGTTACAGCATTAACAATAATTAATATAACCATTATTGAGCACTTAGTGTGTGCCAAACACTGGAAAGTAGTTTATAGACAATAACACAGGGATAACACAGAAATGCTGTAAAGTAGACCTACTTAGTATGTCCTCTTCAGAGATGAGAAAACTAAGGTGTAAAGAAATTAAATAACATGCCCAAGGTCATACTGCTATTAAGTGGCACAGTATTCAAACCCACACCTGTCTAATTCCAAAACTGTTAACCTCTGGATATATCATATTAGTGCCTTAAATTCTATGTCCTTGAAACACACAAATTTCTTATTTATAACTGTAAATTCAGTACTTTGTACAGTGCTTAGAAAACAAGTGTTCAATTGATAAATGAACTAATAAATGAAACCAGGCATATCAGTGCCAAGATAGGAATAGCACTGTATATTCCAAAGACAATGACATACCAACGGAGCCAAAACAAAGGTTTCACCTCGGAGGATGTGAGCTTCAAAGTGAAAAATAAATGTACCTTTATAAAGAGCAATTACATGCAACTGTAATTTTTGCTATATAATTCAAAGTTCTAAAGATTATCTCTTGTAATTACTTCTATAATCTTTAATTCTTTCAAATAATTTAATACTATTGTGCATAGTTGACTTTTCCTTTGGTATATTGTAGTGATTTAATATGTGGGAATTTAGAGTTACAATCCACTCTCATCAAGAACACCTCCAAATCCTTCTTGGACAATCAGCATAATAATAATGCCAAAACTCAACATTCTATCAAAATAGAAAACTATAGTATAATTTCACTTAGATCAATGGATAGCAAATCAATAAATATTAAATCTTATAAGAGAAGTAAACAAGATATGAAAATGGAAATGAGAAGTAAAATTATTTGCAGAAGCAGAAGTAACTAAATGAACAGTAAACCAACTATTAAAAACAATAGAAGAATTAAGAAAGTAGAATTTATAAAATATATGTGGCACCTTAAAAGACACTTTAGACCAAATGGACTTAACAGATATATGCAGAACATTCTATCCAAAAGCAGCAGAACATACATTCTTCTCAAGTGCACATGGAACATTCTCCAAGATAAATCACATGATAGGCCACACACAAGTCTTAATAAATTTAAGGACACTGAAATCATATCAGGCATCTTTTCTGACCATAATGGTATAGAACTGGGAATCAAGTACAAGAAGAAAACTGGAAAATTCACAAATATGTAGAGATTAACAACCAGTCAAAGAAGAAATCAAAGGACAAATCAAAACACACTTTGAGACAAGTGAAAATGGAAATACAACATATGTATCCAAATTTATTGGATGCAGCAAAAGGAGTTCTAAGAGGGAAGCTCATAGTGATCAATGTCTACCTCATGAAACAAGAAACATCTCAAACAACCTAACTTCACACCTCATGGAACTAGAAAAAGATCAAATGAAGCCCAAAGTTAGTAGAAGGAAGGAAATAAAAAAGATCAGTACAGAAAAAATGAAACAGTCTAAAAAGACAACAGAAAATATCAATGGAACTAAGAGCAGGTTCTTTGATAAGATGAATATTGACAAACCTTGAGCTATACTTGCTAAGAAAAGACAGAGGGCTCAAATAAAATCAGAAATGAAAGTGGAGATATTATAATTGCTAACACAGATATACAAAGAGTCATAAGAGAATACTATGAATAATTATAAAGCAAAAAATTAAACTAGAAGACCTGTTTCTAGAAACATATTAACCTTCCAAGAATTAATCAGGAAGAAAAAGAAAACTTGAATAGACCAATTACTAATAAGGAGATTGAATTAGTATTAAAAACATCCCCCCAAAACAAAAGTCCACAACCAGATGGCTTCAATGGTGAATTCTACCAAACACTCAAAGAATCAATACAAATCCTCCCAAACTCTTCCAAAAAACAGAAGGAAGGCTTCCAAACTCATTTTACAAGGTCAGCATTACCCTGATAACAAAACCAGACAAGAACACAACAACAACAAAATGAAAGGCCAATATCACCATTGAACACAGATTAAAACTCAACAAAATATTGCAAACTGAATACAACAGTACATTTAAAGGATCATATACCATGATCAACTAAGATTTGCTCCTGGGATGCAAGGATGATTCCACACCTGCAAATCAATCATGTCAAGCACCATATAAACAAAATGAAGGATAAAAATCACTGACCACCTCAGTAGCTGCAGAAGCATTTAACAAAATTCAATATCCATTTATGATAAAAACTCTCAAATGGGTATAGAGGAAATGTACAGTTATATCATAAAGGTCATATAAGTCCACAGTTAGCATCATACTAAACAGTAAAAGCTGAAAACTTTTCCTTTAAGATAAACAATAAGATGGTAGATGCCCTCTCTTACCACTCTTATTCAACACAGTATTGGAATTTCTAGCTAGAGCAATTAGGTAACAAAAGGAAATGATGTCATCCAAATTGTACAGGAAGAAGTAAAAATGTCACTATTTGCAGATGACAGTTTATGCATACAGAAAATCTGAAAGACCACCAAAAAAAACTCTAGAACTAATAAACAAATCCAGTAAAGTTACAAGATACAAAATGAATATACAAAAATTTTTTGCATTTCTACATTAATGAACTATCTGAAAAAGAAATTAAGAAAACAGTATTTACAACTGCACCAAAAAGAATAAAATACCTAG